AGAAAGCAGCTGTTTGAAAAATTCTGATCTTAATGTGATTTGAAAGTTGCCTTTCCAAACTGGCTGATTTAATTGTTCCCCAGCCATGCCATGAACTCCGTTTGGACGTAACGGAGTTCAGACGTAACGAAGGAAGCAAATGAAAGATTCCTGTTTTAGTTTGCATTGAAACTATATAATTGTACAGGCGATCCTTGCTTAAACGCTTGCTCTGTAGCGTTCCAACTTAACAACGGCGCTGAACAAGTGGTAGTTACAACGACTCCTCATATTTACATTGGTTGTATCATTTCATTGGTCAAATGTTCATAATTTTTTCCACTAAGCCAACTGGTTACATGACATTGTGCTTTATTACCATCACTGATCAATGGAAATTCCAGTCCCAGTTTTCCTCGTTAAGTGAGGATGACCTGTCCTGTGTCTCTCCACTGATATGATTGAATTACTTCATTGTAGCAGAAGCAACATTCAACAAAATGGAGATTGGTGCTTCCCACAAAGACTTTGACTCTTCTCTGTGCAGGTCAATTTTCATCCTCACACACACTCTAAGCAAACCTGTTGAATAACGTGCTATGAATTCCAATTTGGCAAAAACCCAATGCTGCTTGAAATGAGTGCAGACTTAATTCAGAAAAAGAAAAGTGCACCTCCACAATAAGTTTTTGGTGAAAAGCAACCAAGAAGCAACTTCCCACTTTTTACACATGTTACTGCTTAATGGACCACCATCGCTCTGGCTCTTAGAAAGGAATAGCGGTCTTTTTCTATTTTTGTTTCCAAAAATCTGCCTACTCTTGATGGCTTAGAAGTGGGAGTAAGCCCAACTGAGTTGAGTGAGTTTAGCTCCAAGGTAAGCGGGCACAGCTTTATAGGCTTAGCCTGGCCATTTCTAGACAAGGAACTCATTGTGCTATGGCTTGCCTTATTTGCTGATTTTTAGGAAGGCTCCAGATGGCCTTTTCCCATTTGTGAATCCATTTTGTCTTCCCAATCTTCCTTCCACCCTTTCTCCTACTGCAAGACATCCTTGAAAGAAAGAAAGGTGGAGTGGCTCCATTTAATACCTTTTGTCTGGCAGTGTTGATGCCATCTGTTTGAAGGCCCCCTTTCCCAGATAATTGCATTATTTCCCCAAACTTCCGGCCTCTTTTCTTCTTTGCTTTCGTTCTATTCTATAAAGCTTTAATTGCTAATTTCTACTTATAGCAAAGTGGTTACTTTGAGCTGGAGGCTGGGTGGTGTTTACATTCATCCTGAAACTATGAATACGAACACAGCTACGCCGCTGCTGTTGTCTACCTCAGTGATTGCTGTTGTGTGGTCATGACTCAACTGAGGTCAAAGCAGGGACAGAAGAGAGAATAAGGCTAATTCTTGGTTGCTAAAGTTTTTTCAGGAAGAGCAGTACTATATAAAACAAGGGTTCAGTTTATAGCTCCAAATCTCAACTGCCTATTCCTGGTTCTCCTCTTCCTGCCCCTTCCACATTTATAAAAAAAAGTTGATGTTTGCAACGTTTTTTTTTTCTATTTTGGGGGTCTCGGTGTCTAAATAAAGAAGGTTTTACCATGGAGCACAATTTAATGGGAACTTGGAAGATCAAATTTAAATGTGACCCGGGGTTAGATCCTTTCCTAAAGTTGCTGGTTTTGCCAACAGGAGCTGCCTTATTATTAGTTACTGAGGAAAGAGGAGGTTAAGGAAGGAACGATGCTCAAAGGATGCTAACCCTGGGTGGTTGTGGGACTATAATGCTTCTTTGGAGGTTCTAGCAGGAGAGTGCAGCTATCATATACCCTTCATGGAAGATCAGTATCTGGGATGGTTGTGTCCTCTTTCACTGAAGGAGACACCCCCCAGCTAGCCGTATTAGCTGAATCAGTCCTGGCAATCAACAAAGGGACAGATGTCACAGCCAGATCCCCCTCACATCTGACTGTAATGCTTAGAAGTCTCCTTACTACATTAGCCCAGCCTGAAGGAGAGTCTTCCTTGCCTTCAGGTACGTGCAGTTAATACACACAGTGTGGCTTTTAGGTTTCAGAGATGTGGCACTTGGCCCCTTCCCCCAGAAAATCTGGTCCATTTTCTCCACTTTAGAATTGTGGATTGGATCCTGTCAGTGGGCTTTGGGAGCTGGTCTTCACATTTGAAGGGGTGTGTAGACTGGGGTAGCAGGATCCAGTCTGGGTCGGTCACCGGGTCCAGAGGTTTAGTCTTCTGAGCTTTCGAACTCGTTCTGGAGCCTATCCTCAGGGAATTTCTCTCTCACCAGAATGTGTGCTTTGGGCTATTCCATGCATAGAATTTATGGGTTGTGTAGTTCCGTGTGGCTTTTTAATTGTTGGCCGGCTATTAAGTCTTCGGCTGTTTTTTTCTTTGTGCTACCAAGTCCTCGGCTCCTAATTACTTGAGGTAATTAGTAGCTAGTGGTAAATCAGTATCCCCGTTGACCGACAAGGGGACTGGACTCCAAGGAATGAGTTTCAGCAGGATCCAAAAACTTGGGAGACTAAGCCTCTGGTCCCGTGACCAACCCAGACTGGATCCTGCAACATTATCCTGGGACTTGTATATTTGCCTTCATTCATGAGACTGAGGTAGACTGATGGAGAAGCTTGCAAACTTGTTTCCAGAATGGGGCATTTAATATGGACAGATATTAAAATAGCAAGGTTGAACCAAGTCTGAAAGTAATTGTTTTCAAGAATCACTCTCACCTTGGTTTGCGGGAATGTTGTTTTCCTGGGGCAGAAGGTTTCGGGATTCAAAAGAAATGGACAAACATTCCTGATCTAGGGAACTTTCATACATTCAACTTGGTTCATTTCTCCCTCCCTGCCCCCCCCCAAGAAATTAAACATGTTAGTGCCATTCCACCACAATACCAATGCTTCCCTTGATCCTTTCAGTTGATGGGTGTGAGAATGCCAAAATCAGCATCTGGCTAGAGGTGTGCCCTTGCTTAGCAGAAGATCTTCTGAGCAGCTGTGGTGCTATTAGAAAGCAAAGGGGTGATATCCCTTTGCAGTGGAGTGTAGTTTTGATTTAGTGTTTCAGATACAAAACATTTAAATGTTTGTGCCATTCTTCATGATAGATGTGTTCTTAGCTTTTGTGGAATGTGTCAAGCTTTTGGGCAGTAAACTACATCTGAAAATGCACAATTCTCACAGCGTCTTTTTCACTAAGATTTATTGAGAAAATTCAGTTCTGCAATTTATATACCTATGTATAAAATATAGTGGCTTCTTATGTGGAAGTTTAGATGCAAATTATTTTCATATTTGGTGGACGTGTAGGGATATAAAAGCATTTTGGATTAAGATTTGGTGGAATATTCAAAATACTTTTAAGAAAAAGATAAAGTTTACACCGCAGTTATTTTTATTAGGCATTATGGGAGATTTGGATGTTAAAGAAATGAATTTGATGTTGAATCTTACAACAGCTGCAAGATTATTGGTAGCCCAATTTTGGAAGAAGGACTCTTTGCCCACTATAGAAGAGTGGACGCTTAAAGTGTCAAATTTAGCAGAAATGGCTAAAATTTCTGCTTATTTGAAGGATCAATCACAAGAAAGATACATCTCGGTCTGGAGAAGATGGATAGATTATATTCAGAATAAATATGGGACTAAAAAGTTTCATTTGGGTTATGAGTAAACTCTAGAGTATTGTTATTATTAATAGTTTATTTTAATGGAATTTTTGTTAGTTTTAATTATATGATATTATTATTATTTTTAATATTAGTATTGTATTATCTAATATTTAGGTTATGAATATGTTTATTATTGTGTTTAATTTTAATGTGCTTAAATTTGTGTTAAAGGAGTTAAAGCGCATTATGGACTTGGTTATTTTAATAGTTGGTTAATGCTAGATAGATTTTGATTATTATATTTGTAACCCTGTGTTCAGCTCTGGGAAGTGGGGGAGGGGGAGGGAGGGGTTTTAGGGTGGGTATGGAGGTTTATACTGTAATCTTCATAAAACTTTTAATAAAATATATATATATATATATATATAGTGGCTTCTTTTTGTCTTTCTAACTGCCTTCCTTTGATCTAATGGAGTGTTTTTTTTCACTGATACCAGGGATATTTTGAGTTGCCTGTTCACATACAGTAGTGCTTCTGAAGAGTGGTGGGATTCAAATATGTGAACAACCGGTTCTCTGTGTGGATGCCGCTTCCTGAAGTCCATTCTGGGCCTGGGCAGCAAAAAAGTAGCTACCGGTTCTGCCAAAGTGGTGTGAACCGGCTGAATCCCACCACTGATTCTGGACTATCACTCTACAAATCCATTCCTCTCTATATGGTGTGACATATTTACCATGCTTTTATCTCACTCAACTTTTGGCACAAATTTTAGTTTTATAGATTGTTAAAATTTATAAGAGGTCATGTCATGCCAAATTGAATCTAGGAACAATTCTTCTGAATTTTTGACTTGACACTCCTATAAAGGTCAGGATTATATCTGAAATTTCATGCAAAACGTGTGTTGCATTATTTCTGAACTGTGAATCTTTCAGATACATTACATACGTGTAGTATGGGTGTGTGTGTATATGCATGTATGTATGCATTCATGTATGAAATCTCCGTCAAGTTAAACTTAATCCATTGACATGACCATTTTGGCAACAATGCGGACATGGTCTGCCATTGCTGAATGGTGGGATTTATTTATTTATTTATTTATTCATCCTGGTACTGTCTCATCCAAACTTTAATCAAGTCTAATCAAACTTTGCTTTTGACATTGACCATAGTTGACCAGGTGCTAAAGAACCACTTTGAGAACTCGCTCCATGTATTCTATAGCTTTTGATCAGGAAATAATCCCTACAATTGTATCTGAGCTGTTACAATCATGTTTTGATTTTTTTTTTCATACCCTTTGTTAAAATGCAAGTCAGTCTGCCCATCTGACTTGAAGGATATTTGATTCTCACCATTGAAGCCTTTTAAAATTACTGATTTCAGGGGAAAACTGCAAAGGAGGAAGCAGACATGCAGACCTTACAGCTAAGGAGCCTGCAATTCTTGGAACGTTATATTTATCTCATTCTGTTCAACGCGTATCTTCACTTGGCAAAAAAAGACTCCTGGGAGAAACCTTTCAGCGTCTGGATGCGTGAGGTCAGTAGTCTTAAATACAACTGATAGCACTTGGATAACATTTTATAGATTTTTTTTTTTATTTTGATGAGTAATGCTAATTTTAGTGAATGGGGAGGTCAAGGAAGGCAGGAAATGAATATTCCTGTATATCAGTGTTTCTCAACCTTGACAATTTTAAGGCATGTGGACTTCAACTTCCAGAATTCCACAGCCAGCAATGCTGGCTGTGGAATTCTGGGAGTTGAAGTCCACATGCCTTAAAATTGTCAAGGTTGAGAAACACTGCTGTATATGAAGATGAATTTGCTCTCAACGGGAATCATGATCTATTTCCCTTTCTCACAGTTTAGGCAGTGTAAACTCTGCCCTTAATCACATAGTTTCTGGATGCAGTTTTTCAGATCAAAATTGGTTGAGATGCATATATTGTTTGCACATGTTACAAAGCGTTATACTATTCTCCCTGGATCCTTAGATAAATAACTAATAGGATGCAGTGAGGATCTGGATCTGAAAATCAGTGTATCAAAGATCAAGTAATAGGGAAAGTGGTGTGAACTTGAAACTTAAACATAAATAGCCCCCAAAAAATGAAAGCAAGTGGATTAATTTTCATACCTTGGTGTTACAATAATTAAAGATAGGAAAGTGGGGAAGAAGCACCAGCTGCTGATAGAATAGTTGGTAATATGTACTCTGTTACGAGAAAGAATTTTATCAAGAGAATAAAAAATGCCAGTAATATATTTTATTAATATTTTCATTAAGTTGTATGCATTGGGAAGAAGTGTGTGTTGAAAAATAGAAAGAGACTGGGTCAAGAATGAAGGGAGGTGAATTAATATGACTGGAAAATACAAGTAGGTAACAGGTACAAAACAAGTATATTAAAGTGGTTTAATCCAGGGGTTCCCAACCTATGAGCCACAGCCTATTGGCCACTGAGTGGCTGGCCGGTGGGCTTGTGTGCGCGCATAGCTCCATTCACACGAGCATTGCTGTGAGCATCACAGGCATTCGCGGCCCCACTTATGCGAACGCCATGGGCGTTCATGGCCCCACTCATGTCAGTGCTCATGGCCCCACTCACACGACTAACGGGTATTTGTGTACATGCATGCGCACAAGCATGCATTCACCCCCTCCAAAAAAACCATCCCTTCTTTTCCCCCCTCCCCCTGTCCAGGAGAACTCTGGTTTAATCATATAGAGCAGAGGTCCCCAACCTTTTGGGCACCAGGGACCAGTTACGTGGAGAGAGGTTTTTCCGTGGACCGAAGCAGACGTGGTTTTACGTGCTGCCTACATCCTGTGGATAGGCTTTTCCTTGTTTGTGCGGACCGGTTGCTTGCATGCCATGGCCCAGTACTGGTCCATGGACCGGGGGTTGGGAACCCCTGATATAGAGAGTATAAATGAGGATGGAATTGTGGTATGAAGAGTGAATGTTTCAGGAGGAAAGGAAGGATTGGATAAACTGTGATTGGATGGAATTGATGAGCTGAGAAGTTTAAAAGCCAAAAAGCAATTACAATATGAATCAAAGTATCAATACGACAGAAGCAAGGATGATTTGCAAGGACGGAAAGAGATGGAAAAGATGTGGTGTGCACTGTTGTAAGCTAATTCCTTCTCCCTTTAGTTTCTTTTGCTTATTACTTTGTACTCGTTTTTCATAATGTTTCTTATGACAAAGGAAACAGAGCAGTGGATATGCATATCTGTACTACAATGCAGTTGAATGTCCATAAACAAGCGGAAGGAGAAAGAACCAGCAGCACCTGGGGTTCGTTCTTTGGTTAGAGGAAAGTCATGGGTATGCCATGAATGTTGGGACTGGGAAGACAGTATAGAAAGGCCAGGAAAGCAGTTGACAGAGAGTGGTTAAAGTATGCATTAGGTGGATCAGTGCCTCCAGATTGGCAGGATTTAATGGGGCTGTCCGAGCATGTCTTGGAGCATCTCGAGGGAACTTGACAGCTTCTGGGTTTTAGATTTGCAAGTAGACTTTCCATGCTTGTAGATATGCCTTGCTGGATTTGGCATTTTAGTCCACCCATCAAGTCCTTCCCAAGGACCTGGGATACGCAGAAGTTGTTTAATACATTAAAGGTACATTATTGTGGCAGGATGTACAGTAAATTGTTCCAAGTAAAGCTGACTTTTGCAATTGATTAATCCAGATGATTTTGGATTGCACCCAAAGAGCCTATTACTATTATCTTTGTTCCTTTTGCCATAGTCCAGTGGTGGCAAGCCTATGGCACATGTGCCAGAGGCGGCACTCAGAGCCCTCTCTGTGGGCACGCGCACCATGCCCCGGAGATGGCAACCGTCCCTCTTCAACCAGCCGCCCGCTAACTTGCCGAGGTCCCACATGGCTGAATGCATCCCAGCACGGCTGGTTTCCCTCCCAACCATCCCATCCCTCCTGGCCTCGCATGCTCTCCTTTTCCCGGGCACGAACCACTACATGGCCTCCTCAGCTGTCGGCCGGCTGCCCAACTGAGAGGTAGCTTCTCTGAACTGCTGGCAGCAGGCTGCGCAGCCCCAGAGTGCGCCAGTCGAGGGGCTGGCAGGCTGTGGCTGCTGACGGACACTGTCGGCCCCCATGCGCTCGCTGGCCACTGTGTGCGGGGGCCGATGGTGTCAGGCAGCAGTTGCCCCGGCCCCTGCCTCGCCTTGCCCTGCGACAATGGCACCCCCACCCTGCCTCGCCTTGCCTCACACCGCAGGACGAGCCTGCTGCCCACTGCCCCACCTGCCGGAGACCCCCTGGATATCCCCCAACCCTGCCCGGCCCCCACAGGCATCCCTCCCCACGAGCAACATCGAGGTGACCATGCCCACCTTGGCCACACTCACCCAGTCTACCATGACCACCACAGCCACACCCACCCAGTGGGCCATGCCCACCCGGCACCTGGCAATAAATAAGTGGGTTTTGGGTTGCAGTTTGGGCACTCGGTCTCTAAAAAGTTCGCCATCACTACCATAGTCATTCTACTTCTATTTACAGTTCTTTTTATTTTGTGATTTTTGTCCAGTTCTTTCTCTTTTCTTCTGTCTCCAGGTATTGCAATGTCCGCTATCCAAACTTTTTTTATCTTTCTTATTGACAGTTGTTAAGTCTGGTGTGTCATGCGGCAGACACTTGCTTTTTGAATTCTAACATCCCAGAACCCTTTAGCTTCTTCATTTTTTATGACTTCGTCTCTTTTGTGGTCCCATCAATTCTTGCTTGCAGACAAGTAGTATTTCTTGCAGATATTCCAATGCACCTTTGTTATTGCTGCTGTTGCCATGCCTTTGTTTATAACCAGTTTATGCAGTCTTCTTGCAAGAGCTGGCTAGGTGGTTTACCATTTCTTCAGCTTCTTTGCAACACTTGTTGTCTTCTCAATTCTGATTTTATATGCATTTGTTTTTAAGGCTTGGTCTTGCACAGCCAGAATTAGCCTCTCTGTCTTTTTCTTCAACTTTCCTGCTCTTAGCCATTGCCAGGTTTTGTTGTTTCTTTATTTGCTCTTGTGCAGGGGTCCTCAAACTTGGCCACTTTAAGACTTGTGGACTTCAAGTCCCAGAATTCCCCAGCCAGCATTTCTTGCTGGGGAATTCTGGGAGTTGAAGTCCACAAATCTTACAGTGGCCAAGTTTGAGGACTCATGCTCTTGGGCTTTAACTGACATTTAAAACGGGGTCTTGGTGCTGGAGTATAATATTTTATATGCTCTATGATCCTGCCATACAGCAATATAGTTTTTCATCAATGAGATAGCTGAATAATTACTGTTGACCATTGGATTATATTAAAAATGGCCTGCTATAAAGACTTTTACAAGGAGGACCAACCTTTCCTTTTTTTAAATGTACATATATGTACAGTGTGGAACAGTAAGGTGACAAAGCTTTACAGGAACAGCTTTTTATAGTTTTGAGTTTTTTGTTTCCAAATGTACATGCCTGCTCTCTTAATCCGAATCGTTGCTCATAGCTGGTTGTAGCTTTCAAAGAGATTCTTCACAGGCCTAAAGAAAGATCCTGGTTTCCATCCCCCGTCACTTTGAATATTATTGTTATGGCAGAATGCATTATCCTTGCATTCCTTGTAGATTCATTCCCATGAACAACAGCTGTTCTTGTAAACTGTTGATGATGTTCATTATGTCTCAGAATATCTTTATTGAGTAAGCCTCTGTGGCAAAGAGCAACGGCTAAGCCAAGTGGCTTCAGAGGACCAGGAACTGTCCGGAGCTTCTGACCACAAGCCAGAAATTTTAGCAGCTGTGGATGGGCAAGGGAATAACTATTTTTTGAAGCATGGCCATTTTAATGAGAGTGATGGGGGACAATTGGTGGGTTACAGTTTCCTTATTCCTGACTGTTGGATGTCTGCAGACCTTGCTCTCTTTGGGGAAATGGCTAAACTTTTTTGCCTGATATACCAGCCGAAAGGATTCAGCTATGTTCTTGCAATAATGATGTCCCAGGGTTCAGCTGCAATCCCTAATTCTAAAGAAAGCATACAGTATAACAGGGGTGTCAAACTGCCGGCCCGTGGGCCGGATGCATCATAGCGAGACCACGCCCACCCCATTGCCGGCAATGGGAAAAAAAGTCACGATACGTCACGACACGTCACGTGACGTTGCGAGTATAAGCAAGACATCTGATCTTACATTTCAATGCACATTTTAATTTTTTGATCTAGGAAACCTCCGTCTAAACATTTTAGTCTCATGTGCATCAGATCCAGTATGGAAGTAAGGAATATGCTTTGTTTTTCTTTGTGATAACTACAAATGAGCTGTTAATAACCGATTAAGCAGCACCTTACTATAGTGTGTGCTTTAACCCCTTAGTTTTCTATGCTCTGTATCATCTTGCCAATTGGAAAAGAGCACTTTGAATGGTTCACTGTTCCACTTGGCCAAACTCCATAGAAAAATGATTTAACAAGTGTGCTAACGTTAATGTAAATCCCAGCATGGAAATTTTGGGAGGTGTATTCCTGACAC